TTATTTATTTATTTTTTTTTTTTTGGTTAAATACTCGATCTGAGTCAAGTATTAATCAAGAATCATTTTATGAACTTTTACAGATTCAGAATTTTTAAATGAAGTGCTCTCAAGTCTCAACAATTGACGAAAAATAAGCAACACGGGTTATACCTTGTAAAAGGTTCAATGAACACATAAAAAAGAATATAATTAAAAACCTTTAATACATGAACAAGACCCTTATAATTTACAGCTCAAAAAGTACCTTTTAACTTACTCTCATCCATCATATAAAACCTCATCTTTCTCTTAGCTCAATCAAGTTCACTGGAACTCTCAAAGTATTAAGAATTCCTTCCTTGATCAAGTACGCAAAATTTACAAGTCGAACCCAGTACTCAACATGACTCGACGGTGCAACGGATTTTTTACTTATTTTTCTTCTTTTATATTAACCTTGAAATCCACCATACCAAACACGTCATAGAGTTCAGTACACTGGCACCTTATGAGAATGATTGTTTTGGACATCTTCTGAAACAGAAGAAACCTCCTGGTTGTTGGAGCTTGCAGTTGTAAGAGAAGCCTCGATATCTTTGCCATCTGAATCTATATATTTTAGGAATTGATCAATGTCTTTATTATCTGAACTTCCAGCTCTTCTGTGGTACCATCTTCGGGGTTTAGTCCTCCTCTCACTGATCGCTATGGCTATGTCATTTGGGAATAGGTTTCTGAGTACAAAGGCTTGAATAATGGTTGTCACGAGCAGTGCTGACACTGTAAGTGTAGAGACAGCACAAAGGACAACGGTTAAAGTTTTTGTTACTGGGTTGGTTACCACGTTTGAGTATCTGATTGTGGCAATGGCAGCTCCAGTCATAGGGAATGTGTAAGCCCACCATGCTAATGAAAACCTGAAGCCTCGGAAGAAATTAACACGAACGACCTGGATAAGATAGATGAAAATGGAAATAGATTAGCTATACATGTCAAGCAGAACTGGATAAAAAATGAACAAGATTTTAACTTCCTTTTCTTCCTCAATATTGTCCGAAGCGATCCAATCCTCTTTACCAAATGCATATAAATAGAAAGCTTTGGTGTCCGCGAAACTAACCAGTGAGAAATAAAGGAACAAGGCGATGAAGTAGGCAATCCGTGCTCCATAATCGAAGGATCCTTGAATCCTTGCCCATGCCATAGAAGCAACGCTAGGTGCAGCAACAAAGAGAAAGAAAACCGGGTGGAGCTCCTTTGGAAGTGTCTCATTTGTTGGAAGTCTCTGATAGAGAGTAACAAATAAGACAGTGTAATGAGCCAATCCAACAGCAAAGAAAAAAATAGGTCCTTCTTTTAGCCCCATGGATGCACCAAGCAAGGCACCAACAAAATTCCCGACAACAGAGAGATGGTTCGAGGGGTTTGCCACCTTAGAAAGTCTCCGTTGTCCTCCTGACATCCACTGTCCATATATCTTAAGCTCAAGGCAAAAAATCGGGGTCATAAGAATGTACCACAGAAATGCATGCAGATTTTCAGAAACCGATGGTGGAACTCCAAGAGCCAAGAATAGAAGGGCAATCCATGGAGCAAAGAAGAAGTTAACACGAATTGGGTGATAGTACTCACGACGAACGGCTTCAAAGTAGAAAATCACTTTCAAACCATAAATGAAAGAGACAATTGTCATAAGAGCAAGAGATATGCACCAAAGAACTAGATTTATGTCGGGGCTGACATGGAGGAACTTGGTAGAGGAGGAAGTAGCAAGGGTTTTCCACAAAATGGCTTGGCTGCTAACACCGAGACAGATACCAAAAGAAGAGACGGGATAGCGTAGCAGGAATGGCCATTGCTTATCTTCAGGAAGAAGTATTTCTTCAGATGCCTGTAAAGGAGAAACAAATTATTTGGCATAAATAAACACCACGATTCTACTTTAATAGTGGTGGAAAAATTGAAGTGCATTACAGAAGTCGCTATTGGAAAATATAGAAGAAACTTTTAACGACGGGATATAATTACTTAAATGGCATACACTCCTCCACAATAATATTCGAAGTTTTTTTGCTCCTAAAATCTTTAATTGTTGTTGTTGGGGGCATTAAGTTGCCATAAAAATTCACATGTATTCACTACATGTAATGCGATGAAACATGACAGTTCGAAGAGAAAAATATCTTTCAAGAAATTTCTTTCTTCCATATCAGTACTACTCTACTGCATATGGTTTGCAAATGCGGCCATCCATTTGGCGAAGAAATGATGCATATCAAGTTAAACCCCAAGACTGATCAATAAAAAAAACATACCCGTAGGGTATCCAATTCTGGTCCCTCCAAGGCATCAAAGTATCGGTCCACAGGCAGAGTTTCGACTTCTGCAGGCTTCGGAATCTTAGAATCTTGCTCAGATTCCCTAGGCTTACCACGCAAATTTGATATTTGTCTCTCAAGTTTCCCAGACCATGTCTTGAAAGAGTCATATCTGTTATCCTTCAGCCTATTAATCCTGGGATTCCTCGGTGGGAGGTCTGTTGGGTTGGGAGATTTTCTACTGGGGAGGGGCTCATTAAATGCAGAACCTTTTGGCATTGGCTGAGAATAAAATCTCGTCTTTCTTCCCTGAGAACTTTTCTCTTGGAAAGTAGCAGCAGAATCGGGAATATCCGTGCACAAATTTTTTCCAAAGTCATCTCTGAAAATAACCTTTTTTGCGTCCTGTAAATGAGATTCAATAGGAGACGGTGGCATGCTGATAGAAACAGAATGCAACCTCTGAGACTCAGAAAAATCAATTCCTCCTTTCACAGAAGCTTCTTCAATTGCCTGAGATTATTAGTTAATTAGTAATATATTAGTAAGGTGTTGAATTACACATACCAATACACACACACACACACATGAATAAGTAAATTCTTGGGTAGGTCATGGATTCATAAGAACTCAAGAAGAGTTAACTTTCATTTCAGTAAATGCATTGGATTTTTTCGATAAGCATTTTTGACAATCTAGATGATGAAACCAATCTATTAACAGACTTTTTAAGCCACGTCATCATTTCCAACATATAAGTAGGCAATTGTTTTGAAAAGATGGAGATAGACAGAGTGCCAAAACTGAACCAAAAATGCAAGTTTAGTGACTAGTTTGGAAAATGTATACGGTAACTAACAATTCTCTTAAACTGAGTTGAAAGG